AACACATGAACCTTTGGTCAACATTTTTGTTCCAAACCATAATAATTACAGCCTTGATTCGCTCTCCTGTTGTGAGTTTCTCCAGCTAAAGGGAGAAAGCCTGGAGAAGCTCTCCACAGATCCAGCTAACTTCCCTTAGGTAATATGTGGGATCTAAGCAGCACAAGAACTGGGCTATGGTGGATGTCAGGGTGCATCTTCTGTGTCCCACATTTTAGCAGAGACATCCATTCCCTCATGTGTGTTTTCTAATGTCTCATAGGTATATAGCATAGCAATACATATATGTGTGTGTGTGTGTGTTTTAATAACTTGCTCATAGGTATAATGATAAATGTCTCATGTATATAGCAGAGCAATACATATATATAATGGTGTGTGTTAATGATAAATTTCATACCACTTGGAGGAAGGAATGAGATTGGCAAGACCTTCAATAGTCTTTTTTTTTTAGGACCGGGAATTGAACTCTGGACCTTGTGCTTGCCAGGCAGGCGCTTATGCCACTGAGCTATATCCCCAGCCAATAGTCTTTTTTTGAGACAGAGTCTTGCTATGCTGTTCAGGCTGGCCTTGAGCTCACTTTGCAGCCCAGGCTGGTCTCGAACTGGCAATAATCCTCCTGCCTCAGCCTCCCTAGTGCTGGGATTACGGGCGTGCACCACCACACCCAGTAGATTCCTGGTTCTAAACTGAGGAATTCTGCCCTCCAAGCCATTCCACTGTGGCCCTGCTTCCCCTGCCTTGTTTTTATGTGCTGGGAGCCAGCCCCAGCCCCTAGTCCTACTCTTGTAGGACTTCCAGTATTTGGGTAAGTGCCTGGCACAGAGGAGGAATTCAACAAATATCTTCAATAACTATTTAGACAGATTTTTTAAAGAAAGCATGATGGAATGACTCATCAGGACAGTCATATCCTTCTGTCTGGGAAGTTTTTTGTTTCTTTCTCACCCCAGCCCTGGGGCTTCCAAAGGTGACCAGGTATCTGGACCTTCAGGCGAGGACAGGGTTTCCCCAGCACATTCAGAAATGGCTGCCCAGCTTCCACAGCATGCTCTAACCCAAGTGATCTCCCTGCATGTACTCTTCCTTTCCACTGTCTTCTTCTTCACCTGGAGGAGTTTCCTCCTGCCTCCTTGTCCTCTCTGGATCTGTTTCTCTGAATGACTTGGGTTTGCTTCGCAGAAGCAAAGTCACCACTAGTGACTCAAGGTAGGAAGTGGCGCTCAGGACTGTTAGACCGAATTCAACGTCTTTAATTATTTAATTTAATTTAATTTATTTATTTTGTCTTTTTGAGACAGGGTCTCGCTAGGCAATTCAGGCTGGCCTTGAGCTCACTTTGTAGCCCAGGCTGGTCTCAAACTCACAGCAGACCTCCTGCCTCAGTCTCCCAAAGGCTGGGATTACAGATGTGCATCACCATGTGCACACCTGTAATCCCAGCACTCGGGAGGCTGAGGCGGAAGGATTGCTGCAAGTATAAAACCAGCCTAGGCTACATAGCAATACCTTGTCTCAAAAAAATTTTAGCTGTACAAAACAATTAAAATGGCAGTAGGTAAATTCTATACTTCCTGTACTCAATCCCCTATTATTAACATCTTAGTATAGTAGCTTTGTTACAATTAAGAGCCTGTATTGATACATTATAATTAACCAAAGTCCATTATTAAGGAGGCTTATACTTTACATTTTCTTAAGTTTTCACCATGTAGATGGTGAAGTAATATATTATTTCCTGTTTCAGGATCCCATCCAGGGTACCACATTATATTTGTCATGTCTCCTTTTGAGCCTCAAAATAGTATCACTGTAAAGCCTGGAGTGGCGGTGCACACCTGTAATCCTAGCACTTGAGAGGCTGAGGCAGGAGGATTGTTGCCAGTTCGAGGCCAGCCTGGGCTACAAAGTAAGCTTAAGGCCAGCCAGAGACCCTGTCTCAAAAACACACACACACACACACAAATAGTATCCTTGTTCGATGATGTTGACAGTTGAGACATCTTGGTTAGGGTTTTTATAGAGTATTTCTCTATTGGAATTTACCTGGTATTTTATCATGGTTGTCATGCAGTCATGACTTCTTGGGTGAACAGAGGCAAAGTGTTATTTTCATGTTATTGAGCATACTTGCTATTGACATAGTTGATGGTGATTTTGATCACCTGGCTAAGGTAGTCATTGTTAGCTTTCACCACTGTAAAGCTACATGCCCCCCTCTCAATAAAGCACTAGCTTATATTCTCCAAACAGTGTTCTTCTGAAGCGCAAACATTTTCATTCATTCCTCTCCTGGGAATTGAACCCAGGGCCTTCACACTGAGTTATCTTCCCAGCCTCCTCCTTTTTATTTTCTATTATGAGTTAGTATTCCAGGCTCATCTTCTGTATTTGCTAAGTTGGCCAGGCTGGGCTCAAAGTCACAATATTCCTGCCTCAGCCTCCGAGAGTGTTGGGTTACAGGTATGTTCTGCTGTGCCTGGTCAAAAGTTTTTAATTTTTAATCCAATTTATTAGTTTTTTTTTTCTTGTATGCATCATGCTTTTGATGTTTTATCTAAGAAATATTTGACTAACCAAGGTCACAAAGATTATCTCCTAGGTTTTCGTTTAGTTTTATAGTTCTGCTTGTGGGTTTATATGCATTTTGAGTTAATTTTTGTGTATAGTTCAAGGTATAGATCAAAGTTCATTCTTTTGCATATGAACATGGAATGTTTTTTGCATCCTAAGGTAGTTTTTCCACCGTCAAATGATTCACTTTTTTGTTTGTTTGTTTTGTTTTTGTCCTTTTCCTACACTTCAGGAGGAAGGCCAGCAGTACAGACCTGAGGGCAGAATATCTACATAAATGATTTGGAATTCTTCTGCATGACAGATTCGTCTCTTCTCTGCCATTTCTTTATTCATTTATTAATGTCTGTGTGGATTCATGGGTACTTATACTTGGGTTATGATCCAATACTGCATCATTTATTTGGCCACTCACATCACTCTAGCTTTGGGCACTGCATTTGGCTCCTGCAACATTTTGCCAGGCTGTGACGGACCGAACCTTTATTTCTCCCACCAAACACACGGTGAAGCCCTACCCTGCAATGTAAGGTACTTGGAAACAGGGTTTGTGGGAGGTAACTAGGGTTGGATGAGGTCATGAAGGCAGGGCTTTGGTGACAGGTTCACGTCCTTAGAAAGAAGAGACACCAGACAGCTTGCCCTCTGCTATCTTGTTGCCATTCCACAAGTGTAATGAGAGGTCATGTGGCACCCAGAGAGACTGCAGCCACCTGCACACCAAGAGGAAAGATCTTCAAATGAAACCCACCTCGTCAGCACCTCCATCATAGACTTCTCAGTCCTCCAGGCAATGAGAAATAAATTTCTGTTGTTTAAACCACCAGTTTATATTTTTGTTTTGGCATCCGAAGCTGACAAAGATGCGTGCACACTTACCACTGTTTTTGTTTTTTTGAGCACTTCCTTCCTTTCTGGCACTGTAAGTTATTCCAGGCTCATCTTCTGTATTTCCCGTCCCAGTCCTAGAATCAGGCATTTCTCCAAGGAGCCTGGTTCCTTTTAGTGGAGAATGGTATTAGAAACCAAGAGCTGGCTCCTAGTTAGCAAATTATTTTTGGATGGTGTCTTAGTTATTTTTTCACTGCTGAGCCGGATACTCCACACCCACGATTTAAAGGAGGAGAAGTTTATTTTGGCTCACTCTTTGTAGAGGTTCAGTCCATGGTCTGCTGGCTCCAGGACAGGGCGGCACAGCAGAGGAGAAACAGCCCGTGGCATGGCAGTGGCGGGTGGAGAGAGCCATCTAGGGAGAAAGGGAGGAGAACAGCAATTCCAGGGCACGCCCCGCCCCAGTGACCCACCTCCTCCCACCATGTTTCCCCTCCCAGATCACACTCACTTATAAACTAACCAGTGGAGTAGTCACCCTGCGCCAATGATCCAGTCACTCCCAGAAGCTCCACCTATGAGTGCATGAGGCTTTGGGGAACATCTAGATATTCAGACGGACAAATAAACACTTACTTGGTGCTTCCTGTGAGCCAGGTACTAGCTCCTTTCTATGCCTGCCTACTTAATCCTCATAACAACTCTATGAAGTAGTCTCAGTCAACCCGCTCTACAGATCAGGTGTAGTGTGTAGCTAGATTAAGAGCTGGCCAACATCACCCTGTCTTGTCTCCAAATCCCATCACACTGCCATGGTGGAGGCTGGTGTTACATCCATCTCAAACAAGCAAAAATGTATTTATCTCAAGTTTTAGGCTAATATACTTCATAGGTACTGGAATAACGTGCACTACAATCATTCTGTAGCATGTAATTACGTTTACTCAGTGGAATGAAGATGGAAGACCCTCCTGGGCCCACAACAAATATAGATTATCTGTTTTGATCGGTACAGGATGTCACACAGCTCTCCCCTCTGCAGAGAGGACAGCCCCTCTGTTCACGTGCTCAGGTCGTGTACCTCCATCCTGTGTGCAGATGATACATCTTCAATCACAGGATAATGAAATGTGACACCCCGAAAACTGCTTTATAGTAGACATTCATAATATCTGCTAATTGTTCAAGCTTGAACCTTTTTTGGGCAAAGCACTCACTATGCACTTAGGAATGTTCTAAGGCAACCATGTAGTGTCTCAGCTGTCAGGATTCCAAATAATGTTCCCAAAGGTAAAACCCCCTGGGGGTGGAGGTGGTTCTACATTTTGCCCTCAAGGATGGGAATCCTATGGCATTAGAAAGAACAAATCAATGGCTGCCAAAGTGACTAAGGCTTCCATCGGAGGGATCTGCAATTTAAAGTGGATATGCATAGGTTTGTCAGTGTATCACTCCCATTTCGTCTGAGTCCTCTCTAGAGCTGCCATATTGGTACAAGGTGATCTGCTCCTGGACTTCTGGTCACTTAAGGAGGAGCCCTTGCCCTAGCTGGGCTAATCTTAGAGGCCTTGCCTTGTACTTTTGGAATAGGAACTTTAGAAAGAGACTTGGTATTTCTTTAGTGATCGAAGCTGTGAATACCGAGGCTGCCAGTAGTCATGTGAGAAAGCTGTGTGTAAGCAGGAAGAGGAATGAAACTGGTATGCACACACACGTGTGACGTCTCTGAGTTCTCAGTTTGGATCTGATGAGACATAGGTACTTCATGCAGAGAGCCCTAGAGTCTTTCACCAAATCCTTTTTCATGCTAAGGCTGGTCAGGCATGGTTTTCATTTACTTCCAAGCAAAAGAGCCCTAACCAAGGCAGAATGATGTATAATCAGTGGCATATAGTTAATACATCACAAATAAATATTTTCTGAGACTCAAACCTATGTAGTATTTTTAGTTCTCAAAATCCTATAGATATAGCCAGGAGCGGCGGTGTAGGCCTAGTAATCCCAGCTACCCTGGAAGCTGAGGAAAGGAGGATCACGAATTCAAGGCCATGCTGGGCTACTTAGTGAGACCCTGTCTCAAAATAAAATATAAAAAGGGCTTAGGGTGTAGCCCAGTGGTCGAGTGGCCCAGGGTTCAATCCCCAGTACTGGAAAAAAAAATTAAAATATAGTCTAGATCTCCTGCCAAAGGTGGTTGTTATACTAATTTTTCAGAAACTTCCCAAATAACTATACATTAATTGATCTTAACTTTGCATAGTTAATTTCTAGTGATCTGGCTTTCAAGCAATAAGAGATTTCAAATTACCAATTTTTTTTCTCCATTCTTACTTTTTGGATCTGGTACCGAGGGGCATCATTCTACAAAAACACCTTATGGGATACAACATATGGTTAACATTAACCTCTTGTTTTATTCTTTGAGACGGTGTCTCACTAACTTGGCTAAACTGGGATCAAATGTGCAAATCTTCTGCCCTAGCCTTCCAGAGTGCTGGGATTACAGGTGTCTGCCACCATGCCCTTCCAGAACTTCCTCTTAGGATAAGCCTCAGAACTGCATTTGGGGTTCACATTGCCTTAACTGTCTGACCAGTCTTTACCAGGGCCCTCTTTCAACCTTTGGCCTTCAATTTCTCCCACCACATGTCCTGTAGACAAGACATTGCCTCTGACTGGCATAGCACCACTGATCCTAATCCTTCTCATCTTTCCGGTCATCCCTGACTCACAAGGCTTATTGTACTTCTTGTATTATCTATGGAAGTGGTAACTGAGAAATGGTGTTAATTACTAAATGCCTGACTCCCTGGCTCCAAGTGTAAGCTCTGTGTGGGCAGGGACTGTGTCCTCGCACTGCTAAACTTCCAGCACTTGGCCCACAGCTTAGTGCAGTTGGCACCAAATAAATATTTATAAACTGAGCAGATAAAAGAATTACCAGCTACCAGCTGAAGAGGAAACAAATACCCAAGTCTCCTGGATGTAGAAGGTCGGCCAGACAGACACAGAAAGCTGGAGCAGCTTAGGAGAGTGGTTAGCAAAACCAGACTGAATATACCTACACAAGTTTTTTTCACCTCCTATACAATTTTTAAGTGACTAGGAAATCTTAGGGTTAAATTTGGGTATTGTAAGCAACCAAACAGTCCAATAGTGCTACAATATTAAAGGAAATTTGGCTCAGAACATAGCCATTGTAAAGGAGACATACTGCTTCTGGTGACACTGTGGTATTCTCCGAAGTGTGCATTTAGGGTCATCATCATTCATTCTTATTTATTTTTGCTGGTGCTGAGAATCTAACCCAGAGATGCTCTACCACTGACTTACAACTTAGCTATTTTTATTTTTTTGAGACAGAGTCTTGCTAGGTTGTCCTGGTTGCCCTGGAACTTTCTTTTTTTTTTTTTTTTGGTTTTTCTCCGGTACCAGGAACCGAACTCATGACCTTGCGCTTGCCAGGCAGGCGCTTTGCCGCTGAGCTAAATCACCAGCCCCCTACCCTGGAACTTTCTCAGCCATCACAGTAGCTGTGCAACCGTGCCCAGCCACTTTTTTCTGTCTTTCTTTCTTTCTTTTTTTTGCAGATGCTTTATCATCTCTTCGTGATTCCTCGAAACAGTCTTAGGCAGAGGGCTGCCGCCATGGTTCGGGTGATGAAGAAACATTTCCTCTTTCACAGCGTCTGTATTTTTGAACGATAAGAATTGCTAAAGAGGAAGCAATCAAACCTATCAGGCATGCTCTGCCCTCCACCCAGCGCGATGCTTCCTAGTTTTAAAAAACAAACAAACAAACAAAAAACCACTTTTATAGCACACGCCTGTAATCCCAGCACTCGAGAGGCTGAGGCAGGAGGATTGCTGTGAGTTCAACACCAGCCTGGGCTACAAAGTGAGTTCAAAGCCAGCGTGAATTGCATAGAGAAACCCTGATTCAAGAAGACAACCCTCCCAAGAAACACAACCCCCCCGCAACAAGACAGAAAAAAACAAACAAAAACAGTGCTTTCAGATCCTCCTGTAAATTTGTCTTAAATAAGTCAAACTGGATTACGTCTCACCTGTTCACCTAGAAGACACCAGCAAGGAATCAGTATTACAACTTCAATTTATTTCATCCTAACAATGAACCACAGTCTGCAGTTTTCACGAACGAGACAGCAACATGAATCTTACATTGGAAAAAGTTTGCTGCATTCTTTTTTTTCCCCCTCAAATACACACAGGCACGCACATGCACATGCACACGTGCGCACACACACAGGAACACGCAGTTTGCAATCGCCCTCAGGGCCGTGAGGGCCCGGGACTTCCCTCTAGCCTCTATCACCAGAGCACCCCCACCCGCCCCCGGGGAGGCGAGCCTGTAGGGACTTCCGCAAAATCCCGAGACGAACGCCATGGGGACTCTCGCAGGACATGGGGAAACCGAAACAGAAATCTGTAACTCAAAAATCCACCGCAGGAAATGCTGTTTTCCAAAGGCAGGTGTGTCTCTCCCAAGTACACGTTTTTTTGTTTTTGTCGTTTTGATACAGCGTCTCGCTATGCAGTTCAGGCTGGCCTTGAGCTTACTTTGTAGCCCAGGCTGGCCTCTAACTCTCAACGATCCTCCTGATCCTCCTGCCTCAGCCTCCCGAGTGCTGGGATTACAGGCGTCCAGCCCAAATACACGGTTTTTAAATCTCCGGTTTGAATAGAACTTTCCACGCCATAGATCGCCCACAACTCCGGGCCCTGGCCACCTAACGCCCGGAGCGGAAAGACCTCGGGCTGCGTAAGGCCGCACCACCGTCGGCTCCCGCCACACCCGCCACTCCCGCCACTCCCGCCAGCCCCGCGCGGAGCGGAGGTGAACGCCTCGGCCCCGGGCCCGCCTCCCGCAGCCAGGCGGCCTGTGATTGGCTAACGGCGCTGCCCATCGAAAGGGGCTGTGCGTCGCGCTCAGGCCAGTGTTCTCATTGGTCGCGAAGGCGGCGGCGGCGTGCGCCGTCCCGGCAAGGAGGGGAAGCCGGTGGCGGCGGCGGCGGAACGGGCGGAGGCTGCCGGTTTCGTAATCGTCGCTCCTCCTCGCTGACTCGCGGGCTGGGAGGCCTGGGTCGGGTCGGGCCGCGCCGCGCGGGGCCG